TTGTCCGACATTGGGATGGGGGGATTATACTCATGCGGGTTCTCTCTTTTGGACTTGCATTCGTGAGACCTTCACTTCAGCAGTGCTGTGCAGGTGGGAAAAGTGGGGTTGTTGAGTTCTTCTGATAGCCATCGAGATTTTGAGGCTTTCGACAACGGTGTGGCAAGGCTCGAAGACTACACCCCCACCAGCGGGACTTAGCCTAGGACCTGGGCCCACAATGGCTAACCCTGCCACCATGATGGTTTGCTTCTTCCTTGGCGAGCAGCGTTTGGGAGGATTATGAAACAACCTCGGACGGTGTTAGCGTATATCATAGGGCCTCGTTCCACACCACTCGAAAGTCTAGGGTTTCTTGCCCAACACCGTTCCACTGTGCTCTCGAGTTTCGCTAATCACGGCCCTGTCGTGATTAGGTTTTCGGGTTTAGCAAACGGGTGGGAAAAGCTCAAGGGCGGCTCAAGGGCGCTCCAGGCAAACCTACCTGATTTTCAAGTCACCTCTTTGGAAACACTTGGGCTGCACTTAAAAACGGCCCTGAACCCCTGCTCGTTTTTTTTTTTTTCCGTTCGGTCTCCTTTTTCTACAGCGATTGTCCTAGTTGAACCCCTGGCGAGCTACTGCAACACCATCCCCGCTCATTTCAAGTGCGGACTTGAGGGTTACGTGGAGCAAAACGTGACTCAGGGTGCCGATATTGATGACTAACTAAGTTGTGTGAATATGCTTCGTTGTAATATCGAGATATCCTTACGTCTCGAACTCAGAGTGCCGATATTAAGGACAACTTGGATGCAGGCAACTCTCATTGGGACAATACAATGGTCATACTTTCTACTCCAGGTAAGTTGGACGTTGATCGACCGGTCACCAAGACTGAGTCATATGAGGCATTTAAATCCATGGCTAAGGGCAAAGCCCCAGGCTGCGATGGGTTACCAACGAAACTCTTCTTATGTATTTGGAATGAAGTTGGTTCTCACCTGGTCGAACTTTATAACAATATATTATATGGAGACCAGCTATCAACCAACATGAGAATATGTATTATTTCTTTGTTGTTCAAGAAGGGGGACTGAGACTGCTTAGAGGTTCGACATTGACGCCCGATATCTGTTCTCAACGTCTCTTATAAACTACTTGCAAAAATTATTGTTCGTCGTCTAGGCCGATATCTTCCGAATCTTGTGGTGCCTGATCAGGCTGCCTTTATCCAGGGTCGTTCCGTTTTTGATAATGTTGTAACAATGATTGAAACCCTTGAAATTATCCACAACGAGCAAAGCGATATCATGGTCCTCCTACTCAACGTGGAAAAAGTATATGATCGAGTCAATTGGTCATACGTAGTGACTACACAAAAATGGTTGGGCTTTGGAGAGAACTTTATCCGCTGGGTTGTAGCTCTTTACTCTCTTTCCACAACATGTGTGATGGTGAATGAAAAGTTTTTAAGAGAGTTCGCGTTGACTCATTCTTTGCATCAGGGTTGTCCACTAGCCCCATTACTGTTTGCATTGCAGTTCGAAGTAGTGTTGAACAATATTCGCTCTCATCCTCGAATTCATGACATGCCTACTATAGACCCTACATCCTACAAGGTCAAATCTTTAGTCGAATGTTTGCTCTGTCACATAACTCTCCTAATCCTCTTCTTTCCCTCAAATCTTGCTTAAACGAGTATGCTTACTTGTCTGAAGCCGCCATCAATTGGCACAAATCGGTATTTCCTCTACCAAAAAAACACGGTCTAGTAGTACAATGGGGAATGAAGCGTATCTCAGAGCAGGGCTCAAAACATTTCCTAGGGGTACAAATCTCCTTGGGTGATTGCTCTGAGTCACAGGATGACATCTTCTTACAAAAAAGGGTGCATTGAATGACAAGATGAGGGAAAGTCCCTCACCTTTTCTTGTTCGGACATGCATTGGTTTTGAATGAGGCTTTGTTTGCCCTATTCTGGTTTGTGAGAACTGTGAGGGTCCTTAATCCCTATTTGTATGCATTAATCAAACGACGAGCGAGAAGGTTTATTTGGAAACCATACTCCAAGGAGGACGTCAACTTTCTATCAAAAGTAGCTTGGGAAATGCTATGTCTACCAAGGGAGGAAGGAGGGTTTGGTATCCTTAACCCCAAAAAGCAAAAAGAGGTAACCCTCGTGAGATGGATTATTCACACTTCTTTGGAATGCCCCGTACCACACTGGGTCTACCTGGCTGATAGTATATTGGCCTGGGAATGACATCTCTCTAGAGTAAAAGATGTGTGGTCATGCCTTTTTTTTTACTCCTATCAATGCAGGATGATGAAATCCTTCTTCTGGTTTGCCATCATCCAGGGGTGGAAGAAACTACAGGCGGATGTCTAGGTCGAGCTAGTAACCAAGGCTGAGGAACTTGCCCGACCAATCTTTGAGAACCCTCATATTCAATCCCATGATGGTGATTGGTTTAAGGTTGACTCTGCCCCCTCCAGCTTTGGCGGCTCTTGGATTGAGAGGGGTGTGCTCAAAATTCAAAACATTTGTGACGATTGGGCGGGGCATTGGATCTCAGAGGAGAAGTTGAAAGAGAAATCGGGGAGTTTGTGGTACATAAAAGCATGCAGAAGTCTGATCATTAATGCAATTCCTCCTAGTTGGAAGTCCTTAATTGAACCTGAGGGAATTGATCCCCCAGGTACTTCGTTTGTGAGCAAAGCCGCAAATGATGACCGCATTTGGAAGCTAGTACAAACACAGGCTGATGGCAAAAGGATTTTCTAGAGCTGGTTGATTAACACCTCTGAACGAGATGAAGAAAACATTCAACTCTCTGTGGGATTGGAATTTACACAAGTAAGAGTAGTCGAAAACTCAGACGTCTCTGGAAATACTTCAATTGTTATTTTTGGTAATTGTAAACCAGTTTTCCAATTACGTTTGGATCCTAACCAATGGGCATGGAGGGCCAGGAAGAACCAGGGGAAAAACTTAAGACTAGTAGACTATYATCAAAGAATTGGCTACCACGTGGTCATCCCAACGAGAAACCTATAAGTAACTGTCAGGTCACGATGGACTCGTCTATTGAGATTGAAAGGAAAATTAGTAGGAAGATAATTGGTTCAATGTTGAGAACGGTTAAAACTTATCGCCTGTCAACGACGGGCAGCTACTCTGTGACGCTTATCACTTATGGCAACTCAGTCGGCAGCCTGAGTATGGCTTCAAGTTGCTAAGCACGGTCTTCGGATCAAGTTAACAAGCAAAAGGTGTAACTTGGCCTTTAAGTCCACTATTCACCTCTGGTGGGACTGTCCAATGTCAACAAGAATGTGGAATTGGATTACTTCCATCTGACACAAAATACCGGGCCTGACCTTTCCCTGGTGCAAGATGTGGGTGCTATCGGGCGGGGTACCAGATGGCTGTTCTATCTCCAAGGGTTGGGGCTATGTCGCCCAAACCATCAGAGCAGTTGGCATGACAGTTATTTGGCATGAACGAAATGACATAATTTAAAAGGACAAAGATTGGTCAAACAAACAGTTGCGGGCCACTTTCCTCAGAGGTCCTTGGACTGGAAGAATGGCAATGAAATGTGACTACGTCCACTACTAGATCGAGCGGGATGGAATGGTTCTGCGAAACATGGTGCCTTCAGAATGTGGTAACAACGGTTGATAGCTCAGAGAGACCCTCTCTGAAGGAGTGGTTATTTAAGGATGAGACTTAGGAAGTTTAGTATAGGGAAGTACATACCTGGTTCGCTCGGTTAAGGTTTGGTTACATGTAGACAGTCAGAGGGAAAGACCGGGAACGAAGCTGGATATGACTCTCTTTAGGATCCTTGAGGTTCCGGGTGGTTGACTTTAGACCACTCGGCAGTGCACAGATGCTCAGTATAGTTTAGATAGGTGATGGAAGCTGTGAAAAACATGTCTTTTCTCCCCCTCCTCTAATACAAGAATGGAATGGTATCTCCCTTGCTGGCTTGTTTGTCTGTCTCCCGTTTTACCCTGTAGGAGATTGCTTTTCATACGATAATGAATTAGCTTTGTTAATAGGTATTAATTGCTCCATCTTTTTAGTTTGTTAGGCATGTTTTACCCAGAAGGGTTTGATTGTAAGAATAGGTGATCTCTGGTTTGTCACGCAAGTGGCATTCAGGAGGTTCAGGGTTCAATCCCCATGGCCGCCTGTGGCACTCTTGGTGCCAACCAACTGAGATAGTCACCTGGATCCTCCCAGTTGGTATCGGTAAGGTCTTCAGCCAACACGGGTGCGAGTGTGCGTGTGAGTGGGTAGTGCGCGTGTGCGTGGGTTGTGTGCAGTGTGTGGGAGAGTGTTGGCTTTAGACAGTACTCTCAGTAGATGGGGGTGGGGGAAGATGTTGGCTTTAGACACTACTGTTACTAGAAGGGAGGCGCACAGTTGCTGGCAAATGCTTGGTCCTTGTGTTAGCTGGGCCCCCACCGGCGGCCCCAACCCTGCACCCTAGCACAGTTGCTGGCAAATGCTCGGTCCTTGTGTTAGCCGGGCCCTCACCGGCGGCCCCAACCCTGCACCCTAAACGCTAGGGCAAAGGGGCAAACATGCCCTTAGCTCTGTCCACCGAGAGAGGTAACCTCCCTTTCACCCAAGAGAGGTAGAAAGCTATTCTTGCAGGGGTCCCCTGTATACCCTTAGGAGTAATGGTAGGTAGGTATTGAAAGGAAGATATGTTCCATGACATGGCAGAACGCCATGTCCAGAAAAATATGTGAGGTGAGAGAAAAATATATGGCTGTCCAGAGGGTAAAAAAAAGAAAAAGAAAAAAGAAACGTGACTCGGGTATTTTTTAATCACGCTTGGAACTCGAGTGCGCACTCGGAGTTTCAAGTGAAGTGATGTGGAACGAGGGCCATAGAACTACAGGGGCGAGGCCCTCGTTTTATTCATTGGAGGGCCTCGCTGTATCTCTCGCCAAATGTACATAATAGAGTCTTGTATCTTTCCTAGAAAAGTCAAAAGATGCATCGGCTTTGAGATTTATTTTCACATTTGGTGCGTGGTAGGGGTGGGCCATCAGGGGCTAGGTCCCACTGACACGAATTAAGCGATATTGACCGTAGATATCGAAGATCAACGGCCAGAATCTATTAATCCGTGCAAGTGGGACCTTGCCCCAGGATTCTTCAAGCTCGTGAGGTCTGTTTATCAACGGTTCATTTCATGGCTGCTGAAGTCTTCGGCAATATGGGTTGGTCATTTGCCGCCCTTTCCCAATTTTATTTTGGGTAAAAAATCATACCCCCCTCAACGTCTTTCCATTTCCATTTTTAAGGTGACGAGGGGGGGTCTCATTTTGGCGGGGGTGTGAGAGCGAGGAGAAGGCACTCTGTGGTCGGGGAATGCGTATTTCCCCTCCCCTCCACACTCCACATGCACGCATCCCCTCCCCTCCACACTCCACATGCACGCATCGAACGACCGCCATCTCTTCTGCTGCACTCCGCGGCGTCCGCGCTACGGCGGGACGGGATCCGCGCACCTGGCGCCTCCCGAGCCTGTGGTTCCGTCGCCGCCGCTTGCGCGCCCCTCCCCGCGTGCAGTCCCCCCGCCTCCCCCTCCCCCTCGCCCTCCCCCTCCCGCTCTTGCTCCCCCCTCGCCCTCCCGCTCTTGCTCCCCCCTCGCCCTCCCGCTTGCCGCCTGGATCTCTGCAAATTTTTCTTCAGAGCGTTGACGACGAAGCTCAGGAGGCTGCTGTCGACCACAACACGGTGATGCGACGACAGCCGGCGCTCAGCTGCGCCGTGCGGGGCCGTGCCGTGCCGTGCCGTGCCGATGTCGCACACTGTCGTTGCCCGCGCTGCTGCTGCCGCCAGCTGTTCTCCGTGAGTGATTCGCTCTGCAAAAGCATTATGTCTGATCTGATCCGCAATCGGTAATGGCACGTTTTTGACTCCTGAGCTGCTGCCATCGCCGTCGTCAGGGAGTTCTGGCGCAAGAGCGGGAGAGAGCAAGCGGGGCATTTTCTCAACTTTGTGAGCCGATCTGCCCTCTTCTACCTCTGTGTCTGTGTGTGCGTGCTGCGCACGTGCGTGCCCTGGTGTGGTGTGGTTACGTTCGCTCGTGCTGGAGCGCTTGCTTGTGCCTGTTTGTGAGTGTGTGTGTGTGTGTGTGTGTGTGTG